AGTCTGTCCAAGATGTTGCCCGTCATTTCAACGTTAACATAAGCACAATTTACTGTCTCCTGCATCGATACAATGCTACACAGACCACAGATGACCTTCCTCGGAGCGGTCGTCCTAGGGTCACCACATCTCGACAAGATCGGCAGATCACCCGTCAACACCAGCGACATCCGTTCCTAACTGCAAGTGAAAGTGCTCGACAGACCATAGAAACACATAATCGACCCATTAGCAGGGTCACTGTGATCCGACGTCTCCGTTCCTAAAACCTCAGATGTCGCCGACCAGCACGTTGTCCTGTTCTCCAACCACTGCATCGACAAGCACGACTTCAGTGGGCACAGGGTCATCACAATTGGCGTCATCGTGAGTGGAGGCGTGTCATCTTCTCTGATGAAAGTTGCTTTTGTGTCTCCCATGCAGACGAAAGAGTCAGAATTTGGCGGCGTCGAGGTAATCGTTTCGCTGACAGAAACGTTGTGGAAAGGGATCCGGGGGGGGGGGGGGGGGGGGGGGGGGACCTAGCGTGATGATTTGGGCAGGCATTGGACTTAATGCGAGACTTGGACCCATGTGCTTTCTGAATGTTGGTCAAGGTCGGGGACACGGCGTCACTGCTCAGCGGTATATCGACCAAGTGATCAGACCCCACCTTGTTCCATTTTTTGCACAACATCAACAACACATTTTCCAGCAGGACAACGCTCGTCCCCATGTTGCCAGAGATACCATGGCTTTTCTGCAACAACAAAACATCCGTGGCCAGCCCTCAGCCCTGATCTGAACCCCATCGAACACTTGTCGGATGAGGTTCAAAGGCGTCTGCACAATGTGCGCCCAGTCCCTACAACTGCCGATGAACTACGCACAGCTGTTCTGGATGTGGGCAGGAGGATCCCTAGGGCCTTCACAAATCGTCTGATCCACTCAATGTACAGGAGATGTGTGGCAGTGATCAATGCTAATGGTGGTCACACCAGGTATTGACTGACATTTTGGGTATTGACCCGAAACTGTGTAAGCCCTTAAGTTTTAAAAAACAGCAATTATGTCATCTGCCTTTTAATCCATTAACCTGTCTTCGGTCAAATTTTTGTCAATCTTGCCCTATTAGTATTACTTGTCTTTACTGTTGAAAATAAACAACATGTATACTGCATACTCGACTTACGTTTCTTTTGCGTGTGAGTATATATATAATTGAAGAAATAAAAAGTCTTTTGAAGTAGACAGTTTATTCCAAAAAACAATGAGGGCGGGTATGTGTTTTGACTGGGCACTATATGGCCTATTGCAAAGTAGCCTTTTTCCTGTCTGATAAAGCAGACGAAACATGATTGAAAATAACGTAAATAAACTGAAGGTAGCGGGGGTTTCTTTCTGAAAATACATGGTAATCAATTTCTAGTAAGTTTTATCAAATCCTTTCAAAACATATAGATACTAGTATCAAGTACAATAAGTGAAAAGATAAATATCTAGGCAACAGACTCACTTTCTCTGTATTTGGGGCTACGGACATTTTGCAAAGTGTCTAATTGGTGAACAGATGAACTTTAATACGATAAAAACTCACGTTAAATGTCAAATGGACGACTTTTTTCTTTTGAAATTACTCAATAGATTGGGATAACCTGTAAAATATATAATAAAGCACAAACAGGCATCTGTTGACATTACAAAACATATATGCAGAAAATACACTCTTCAAAAAAAGAAAAGCATACTAGTTAGAAAATAAGGATATTTATTAACCGGATGTAAAAGTATCTACACAGAATATGCGTAAACATAATCAAATGAAATTAGACACAGTGATCGACAAAAGTGTTGTCGTCATTGCGTCGATCAAGTTCGTCCCACAAATGTTCAATCGGGTTGAGATCAGGTGATTTGGACGGCCATGGAAGGACATTCGATGTTCTCATTAACAAGGAAATTAACTGTTGCACGTGCTGTGTGGGGCCGAGCGTTGTCATGTTGGAACAGCTCCCTCTGGCGGTCCAAAGTTGGGAGGAGGCGAGGACGCAGAATTTGGTCTATGTATCGGTTTGCTGTAAGATTGCCTTGGACAACCACTAACTGTGATCTACCCGTGTGGGATATGGCTCGCCACACCATGACACTCCCTCCACCAAATCGGTCCACCTGTCGAACGCAGTTCGGCGCAAAACGTTCATGTCGACGTCGGTATACACGTTGTCTTCCATACCGTTGTTGAAGAAGAAAACGTGACTCATCGCTGAACCAAACGCGTCGCCAGTTCCTGAGATCCCATGCCTGTACTCTGTTGCGCCGCCGGACACGTCGTTGACGGTGTAGACGTCGCAAGACAGGTCCAACTTTTGGTCGTCTCGCTCGAATTCCCACTTCCCTCAGACGATTTTTGATGGTTTGGTCGGACCTAGCGTGATGATTTGGGCAGGCATTGGACTTAATGCGAGACTTGGACCCATGTGCTTTCTGAATGTTGGTCAAGGTCGGGGACACGGCGTCACTGCTCAGCGGTATATCGACCAAGTGATCAGACCCCACCTTGTTCCATTTTTTGCACAACATCAACAACACATTTTCCAGCAGGACAACGCTCGTCCCCATGTTGCCAGAGATACCATGGCTTTTCTGCAACAACAAAACATCCGTGGCCAGCCCTCAGCCCTGATCTGAACCCCATCGAACACTTGTCGGATGAGGTTCAAAGGCGTCTGCACAATGTGCGCCCAGTCCCTACAACTGCCGATGAACTACGCACAGCTGTTCTGGATGTGGGCAGGAGGATCCCTAGGGCCTTCACAAATCGTCTGATCCACTCAATGTACAGGAGATGTGTGGCAGTGATCAATGCTAATGGTGGTCACACCAGGTATTGACTGACATTTTGGGTATTGACCCGAAACTGTGTAAGCCCTTAAGTTTTAAAAAACAGCAATTATGTCATCTGCCTTTTAATCCATTAACCTGTCTTCGGTCAAATTTTTGTCAATCTTGCCCTATTAGTATTACTTGTCTTTACTGTTGAAAATAAACAGTAGATTGCCTTGGACAACCACTAACTGTGATCTACCCGTGTGGGATATGGCTCGCCACACCATGACACTCCCTCCACCAAATCGGTCCACCTGTCGAACGCAGTTCGGCGCAAAACGTTCATGTCGACGTCGGTATACACGTTGTCTTCCATACCGTTGTTGAAGAAGAAAACGTGACTCATCGCTGAACCAAACGCGTCGCCAGTTCCTGAGATCCCATGCCTGTACTCTGTTGCGCCGCCGGACACGTCGTTGACGGTGTAGACGTCGCAAGACAGGTCCAACTTTTGGTCGTCTCGCTCGAATTCCCACTTCCCTCAGACGATTTTTGATGGTTTGGTCGGAAATTCTTCGCATACCAGGCACTTGTCCTGCAGTTTCCGTTGCTGTAGCAAATTGATTCCGAAGGTGATGCAACCGGATGTACCGATCCTGAGCAGGGGTGGTCACTCTTGGTCTTCCACTTCTGGGATGATCTTGGGTCGAATCAGTGCGGGTATATCGATCCCATGGTCGAGATATGGTGCTTTGGTGAACGTTGAAGTGTCTTGCAACGGCAGACTAGGACTCCCCTGCTTCCAAACGTCCAATGGCGATATTTCGGTCAGCTGCAATTAATCTTGGCATTTTTCTATCTCCGTTCACGTCAGAAAATTTGTAATGAACTGATGAATTTTGTACGGTCTTTTATAGTCAGTGTGTCCACTCTTATTTTCAACACTTTGCACGTGTATTGTGCCGATAATTTTTTCTGAAAGCAATCCGTGCATCCTTTGCATTTTTGCTGATAAAAGTTTACAAAAAATATTTTGAGATGTGTTTGCGCGCAATGCACAACAAACATGACATGATTAACGGGAATCAAACATAAGAATTGTCTTTATGACTATTGCGGGGGGAAAAAAATCTAATTGGAATTCTCAAAACACATATGCGTTTCTTTTTTTGAAGAGTGTAGCAATGTTTGACACTCACCTGCTTACATAATCAAGATCTTACCTGATACTCTTGCCAATTTTTACAGAGTTGGTATTCCGAATGTTGGAAAAACAACAACAAAAAAGCTACGCCACTGTATAAGAATCATGTTGCAGTTTATATATATGAAAAACAACAATTGCCTACACAAATCAGTCAGATGTACACACAGCGACAAAACGAAACAAGGTAACAATTCGGACATATTTCGACCAAATCAACTGTTTTAATATGTGGAAAAGGTTCCAAGCCGCAGAGGTCTACAAGCACAGATATGGAAACTGATCCCGCTTGGCTGTGTTCTCGCAAAATTGTGTCGCAATTTACATATCCAAAGTCGCCAAAACTTGTAAAATGCCTTAACTACGTCACAGTAAGACACTGATTTTCAGTATATGAGACTATTCTTTTGATGATTGCAAATATTCCTGTAGTTTCTCCAGATTCACGATGGTTAATTCTGACTCGATCGCCGAATGACAAGGGCAACGCCATGATTGTTCATAAACACTGAAAGTAGTCCCTCTTTGACATTTGATATTTGCATCACTATCCGCATGTGACGGATATAGTTTTTATCGATTGGCTTCATCCTGCCGGGAAGCTTAACCATTATATGAAACAAAATATTGTATGTAAAATTCAGGAAAATAAAACAGGCAACTTTTCAGATAAAAATTTGAGATAAGCCTTGAAGACAGATTGCTACTCTTTTATGCTAATGTAGTAAAATGTAATGCATTTTTTAATTCTAACAAACAAGCTTGATTAAAGTTAGTGAAAATTTAGGTTGCAATTTATTACGACAAAATCTAATGCCAAATGAAACCTGAAAGTAAATATCGTCACGTCAAGACAGTACAACTGCAAAATGAAAAAGTACATATGACCTACTTTTCATCCTGTAAGTAATCATATAGGTCCTTATAACAAGCTTGTCTAAAAAAGATGACCCCTGATTGTGACCAGGTCGATATGTGTTATCTTCCCCAGGCCACGGCAACAGGAGGAAGGATTGTTCTTGTTGGACTGGGCCCAGCAGAGCTACAGCTGCCACTGATCAGCGCCCAGTGTAGAGAGGTCGACATCCTGGGAATGGTTACATTAGCCAACACGTAAGTATCACCTGAGCCGATTTTAATATTATTAAGATGTCAACGATATAACACTAGCGACCATGTCTGTAACAAAAATGAGTGAATATACATACATACAGACAAACACCGTTGTGTCGAACTAACGATTGTCTCGAAGTAAAAGCATGGTCCCAGCTGCGTATTCCTTCTTTATTAATCGTTTTCGGTAGTGTCGAACCTCGGATAAATCGAAATATTTACGCAGGTCCCTTCAACGTCGACACAACAGTGTTTGACTGTATATCAAATAGGCAAGTAGATTAAAATTATGCACTAATTAGAAATAGTATGTGGACACCGGCTTGTTCATATCGCTGTCATGCTTTTGGCTCCTGAACATGAACCTATGTGTCTTCTTGTTAGCTACTACCCTCACACAGGCATCCCCACATGAAACCTGGGGTTCTCTCCAGGTACCCTGCAGCTCTGGCCATGGTGGCCGGTCGTCAGGTGGACGTGAAGCAGCTTATCACTCACCGATACAGGCTGGAGGAAGCGCTTGACGCCTACGAAGCAGCGAGACGCAGAAAGGGGGTTAAGATCATCATCAACTGTCAGAGAAAGTGACGCAACCATACACTGTGTCAGGTGTCTTTCAAAGTCATTATTTCCAATCAGGAATCCGCTACTGTACCCAGCATCTTGCTCATGTTGTACAATAGTAGTCCATATGAAAACGTAAACGAATTACTCAGTGGTCAAATCCGAATATTTTTTTTATGTATCCTGAGGGAGTATGGGTATACGCTGCTTTTAGCAATATTCCAGCAATATCACGACGGGGGATACCAGAAATTGGCTTAACACATTATACCTAGGTGGGGAATCGAACCCGGGCCTTCGGCGTGACGAGCGAACGCTTTAACCACTAGATTACCCCACCGCACCCTATGCATTGTCATAGTGCAAACACTTGCTTAATAATTCATATGAAAATATAAAAATAACATATCACATAAATGGCAGTAACACACGTAGGTTGTAAAGATATGCCGCGAGACTCAATTTAGACAATAGATGCCAGCTTGCATTACAGTTCCCGGCTGCGTGTCACTTCCAGATTGACACGCTGACCAATAACGGTAATCCCTATACAGTAGTAGTAAGTAGTAAAATGTTTATTAAAGTGTCACACGCACAAAATGTACAAAAAAATCGATGCACATAAAACAAAAGGTGTGTATTGAATGCATCCAGCCAGACATTGGCTATATACAATATAAACAAAATACACGTATATGCATAATATATATAATGTGAGAGGTGGAAAATTTAGCTACGAAATGAAAAGACACACAGGAAACAATAACAAACTCCTCGATTCAACAAAGAAAGAAAAAGAAAGGGTAGATAGAGAGAGAGGAAATTTAATAATCATGGCGACAACTCTCGTCTTTTAAACATTATAAAAAATTTTTGTAAAACGTTTGAATTCATTAAGTAAATAATTTTCTCTTCTTCGCATGTCACATTAAAATTTCGATATTTACATAACCTCTCCGATAGTGGTATAGAAGGCTTTGAATATCTGCCTGTCTCAACAAAGGTAAAATTCCACACCTAAACTAGGCTAAAATACGCTAAAATACGGCGGTGGTCTCTATGCAAAATATTTTTAACATAGAAATCAACAGAAGATGTAAGTGTATACTTATATTTTCTGTAAGTACGTAACTTATTTCGATTTACAATACCCGTATCATTCCAAAGCGAAGTGTGCCAATTAACTGTGTTATCTTGAAATAAAACATTTTAATATACCCAACACAGCGTTAATATTCCATCTGATCTCCAGTAAGTGAGTACAATTATATTGGTTCAAATGGTTCTTTATTTTACTATCCCAAGATGTGGTAAAACATCCAAACCATCGGTGAATAATATTAGGCAGGCGCTCTTGCTGCATAGATTTAAGTCTGAAAAGATGTCTGAAACATTCTATTTTCCGAGTAACCAAAACTGAGCACCAGCCCATATCCCCTCTACTTGCAAGAACAGGAGCATATTTAGTTAAACCAAGAAACATCCTGGCAGCCCTATTTTGCACAACATCAACTTCTTTAACACTACGTAAGCCCCATATACTGGCACCATAAAACAAAACTGGTTCAACCAGCGATTTATACAACTTCGTAAAAACATCATATGACATTCCACCAGCATAAACATACTTAGTGTACAGAGCAGATAACGCTCTGCTAGCGGACTTACAAAGCTCTTTCGCGGTCTTGTGCATGTCTAAATATTCGTTTAAACACAATTCTAGATAACGATAGGCGTTATCATAAGAAATGTGAGTATTGCCACACGAAAACCGATAACAAGATCTCACAACAGATCCCTTCCGAAAATGGACAATTTTGGTTTTGTCATCATAAATACTAATACGCCATTTTAAACACCAAGTACTTACGATATCTAACATATTTTTGAGATATGTTTCATTTGGGGCTAACAACGCAATATCACCAGCGTATGACAAAATGGATAACATTTCGTTATCCAATGGTACACCCCCTTTGAGATTCGTTATCTCCGTGGCAAGATCATGTATATATATATTAACACCCTTTAAAACGTTAAAAGAGTCTATTATATAGTCATCCACGCCTACTGCACACCTCATATCTTGATATAGGACTCGAACAGCTTTCAATATCTTCCCTTGTACTCCAAAAGACATAAGTTTATACCATAGACAATTGCGGTCTACAGTGTCAAATGCTTTCTTTAAGTCTATAAAACACACATAGGTTGATAGTGCAGCAGATTTCCTATTATTTTTCACATTATATAAAGTATACAAATGGTCGATACAGTTTCTGTCCGAACGGAAACCATTTTGTTCCTGAGACAATATATTGTTCTTCTCAAGCCAGTTCCTGATTCTATTGTTCAAAACGCCTGCATATATTTTACACGGTATTGACACTAAATTAATACCTCTATACGACAGAGGATCAGTCGGGACACTTTTATCTTTTGGTATGGGGCTAATAAGTCATTGGCTCCACTGTGTAGGTGATACAGAATAATCAAACCAGTAACTGACTACATGCAAAATTTTATGCAGTGAGAGTTCTGTAAAACTTCAACTGGTACACCATCCAGACCGACAGCTGTGACTTTTCTGGTGTGTGAAACCGCTAGTTCTACTTCCTGGTATGATATGGGCATGTTGAGCTCGAGCGTATCCACCTGCGCGTGCTTTGTACCGTTACCTACACGTTCACACACTTTCTTATAGTGGGGAAACGAGCTGTTATCCCTACCGTTATAAAACGTGTTGTACGAGTCCCTCAGGTGTTCAAGCACGGTGTTAACACCACTTTCTTGTGAGCCGTCACATCCTGTAGATTCCATAGGAATAACGTTGAAGGATTTTATGTCATCTGCTAAACCTAAACGACCAATTTTCTTCCAAAAATCTCTTCCGTTGTGACTGTTATGTAGGTTCAAAAGTTCTGATTGTTGTCATAGCTGCAGTAAACGTTTAGCTTTTCTGAGTTCCTTATCATATATTATATTTATATCGTTATATATTTATCCACGTTAGTCCAACATCTTCTTTTATATCAGTTTCAGAAACTGATATAAAGAAGATGTTGTACTAACGTGGACTTTATACCAGTAGGGTTAAGCTCTACAAGTCGGCGGTCAGTCTGAAATGCTGACGGCTCATCTAAACGTCAGCCTTTGTTTTTTTATTACCTTAATCCACTGTAGGTAGACATAAGTAAGGTAACCTATGATAATATTGTATCAACCAGGAACAACACATGAAATAACAAAGGAACTAATGGTGACAATTAATTAAAATAATGTCTCCAAAATTTAACCAATCAGAGATTGCTACTCTTCCCTCCACTATATAAGTAGGTGCAGTTTGACTGCCAAGTCAAACTACAAACAGGCTACACTAAGTTAAACTCCCACCTATACCAAATTAAAAAAACACACCAAACCGGTAAATGCCCCCAGTGCAACTTAAAAGAAACACCTGAACACGTAATACTATATTGCACATATTACCAGCAACACAGAAAAACATTCCAATCCACACTAAACTGCAACAATGACACTAGCAACGCTAATAAGCCCCCTAAATGACTTACAAACCTTTAAAGCACGAGGCATCTATCTAATCAAAACAGGCCTGCTAGGCCGCATCTAACAAAGTACAACAAACAAGCTGTCAACAAACCCTAAAATTATTCTAAACCTATAAAAACAAACAAATTCACACAAAAAACTACATTTACTCCCCCCACTCCAGCTTTGTTCTTTATAGGAAATGAAGAAATACCTTTAACTTAATGTTTGTAGTTAAATGCAAAACGCTCGTATGCGAGCTCTGCATAAAATAACTAATAACACTTGTATTAAACGAACTAAGAAACTGTATTGCCTGAAACTGTATTACCGTAATACATCTACAAATACGTCCATCATTAATATTGCATCATTTCAAGCTAACAATGGCATGGTGAATCATATGTGTTGTTTGGTTATTGTACCGTTTGTTGAGTTAAGAACAAGTTCCATTTTGATACTATTTACGTATAAATGTATAATATAATTTATGATTATTAGATATGTTTAAATGATTAATTGAATTTAAATGTTTATTGATTGACACACTGCATCTGAATAAATCTTGAAACGCAAGCCACTCTGATGTCATCATTTATCCTCAATTAATCTATCCTATTTTAAGGAAAACTTACCGTGAGACAACACGTTCTCAGTATCACGAAGAACAATAGCTAAAGAATTGTTTGAAGCTTGCACGGTCTCATCCGACATGTACAGTTGAACACCATTGCGTCGAACTCAAGGGACTTGAGAATAAAGTTTGACTTTTCCGTGTGTTCGACATGCCCGAATACAGAATCTCAACGCCTTTCACAAAATCCAAAAATGATACCCTCAATTCAAGAGAACATATGATAGACAGACGCAATTACGAGTTTGGATGTTAAAAATGGATGAAAGGTTCACATATTTCTAGCCCAATTTATCAGGACAGTTTTACTTTTCAAAGTTGACAAAATTATGGATAACAACTTCTTTATTTACTGCAGAGGCGACTTTTCGGTACAAATCCGTGGAGAAACAAGTCATCCTTGCTTGACAACAGTTACTACAAGTGTCTTTATCATACCTCCATGTCAGAATGATGAGATCTGATTGGTCCACGTGATCTTGATAAAATACTTTATCATACCCAAATGTCAAAATGATGAGATCTTTTTTGTTTTGTTTTGTTTGTTGTTTAACGCCGCACTCGGCAATATTCCATATGACGACGGTCTGTAACTAATCCAGTCTGATCCAGACAATCCAGTGATTGACATCACGAGCATCGATCTACGCAGTTGGGATACGATGACATCAATCAACTAAGTCAGCGAGCCTGACCACCCGACCCCGTTAGTTACCTCTTACAACAAGCGTAGTCGCATGGGTTGCTGTTGACCTATATTCTAACCCGGTTCTTCACGGATCGGCAAACAAGTATGTTTAAATGACTTTTATTGGATAAAATATCACACCTGCGATGTTCAGCAGCCACGAGTTGCACGTGCGAACATGGGCGATACATTGTACGTATCGGACATTAGGGGAGGTCGGGGCAGTGTGGACAGGTGGGGCAAAGTGATTTCCGCGGTTCGCTTAAATAATACCACCAGATAGCGCCTGTCCAGAAGACCGATTACAGACGCCAATCTCCAGAAGTCGCCGTGAGAGAGACGGGACTATCACGCAGTTTGAATGAGTGAGTGAGTGAGTATGGTTTTACGCCGCTTTTAGCAATATTCCAGCAATATCACGGCATTGTACCCATGTCGGGAATCGAACCCGGGTTTCGGCGTGACGAGCGAACGCTTTAACCACTAGGCTACCCGACCGCCCCTCACGCAGTTGGAAGGTAATAGGCATAAATATAGATATTTGACGTATTTAATGTAAACAGCATTATTTGCAGTAAACAGTAAACTTTTTCTGATTTCCAAGGAAACTAATTTTGCCGTGCTATATATTAATAAGAAAGTATCTGCTGTGTAATACAATGCCAATGTGCATCACATCCACGTGCGTTCTGATTGTATAAACTTGTTTAAAAGAGCGCTATCATTGGGGCATAATGGGCCTCACCGGCCCACTTTACCCCTGGCTAAGATGATATCTTAGCTTTCAGAATGTTAGTAGATGGACTGGACATGGCAGTAACTGGTGGCAACTGCAAAGTAGAGAAATTAGTCAGAACTATACAAACTCAACAGTAGAGTCAAATTTTCTCTTCAAGTCTGTAACATAACTATTTTATTCGGAACCAAATGATGACATCCAAATAAGTGTGTATTTTTCATTGTAAACCTTGTTAACACTCCAAACTAGTTTG